TATATTATATTTATTTATTTTAATATTAATAAATTATGTCATTATCCAAATATTCATATTTTTTATAATATTCTATAAAAATATTTTGTGGTTTTGCTGTTATGTAACATTATATTGTATTATAATTAGATGAGTTCATAGAACGGTTTCTTTGTCGCCAAAGAACTTCAAATTTGATGTCATAGTAAGAAGAAGACTATCGTTAAGAAAGCGAGCCTCGCGGTTTGTCGCCCGAAGATTTTATGCACGATTCCGAAACTTCAAAGCAAGCAAGCGAACCTAGCTTTCTTCCCACAAGTAACTCAATTTTTTTCAGGCTGACATTTTGAGTTATGCATACCTGAAATTTAATTACAATGTAATTCTTTTTTATTTAAAATCGCATTCATCTTCCAGAGCTATTAGTGAATTACAATGAGATTGTCATTACCAACATCGAGGCCCTTTTTCTATTTCGTTCGGTAATTTTCATTGTTAACTTTTTAAACATTTTCTTCTACGTCTACTTTAAAATTTGTTGACGATCACTTTCTACAAATTAATCACTGTTATCTGATCGCTCTGCTCTGATTACGTCAGATCTACAAATAAGGAACAAGGAAAGTAATTGAGGTACAACAGGGTTAATCACGTAATTCGTATTTAGATAGACTAGTTTAAAAAGATAGAAATTAATTTACCTTTCGTATTGTAGGGCGTGGGTTCGTTCCAACTGGTAAGCGAAGTAAGTTGTTTATGTTAGAACAATAAGAAGCTGAACGGCAGAGTTAGCATTAGTGTTCAACAACTTATAGATGACTCACGACATTTGATTGTATTAGGAAGCGTATATGTTACATTGTTGCCATTCTTAACGTTCTCAAAAACGCGGGTTCCGAGTCAAGTGGATAACTCTGTATTCATTCGTTTTGTTCATCACGCAATTTGTATGGTATATGTGTAAGAAGAGGCAAACCTGTCTCCTCTATTCTGATCAATCACACCCACATTTTATTCACTCGTCATATTTCATGCAACGCACAGTATGCATTTTATACTGTATTGTAGTATCGTGGACAAATGACCTAAGAAATATCGGGTGAACCATAAACAATGTCGCGAGAAAGCCTATGGCCACGGTCGGTTGCGGAACGCGTACATGGTGGGGCCATGAGAAAAGACAAAGGGATGCTTAAGGAAGAAAAACGAATTGACAGTCAGTCATGAGAAGTCAGAGAGTGTGGTCAGCGTTGTGAGAGAGTGTAGTCCGCGTGAAAGAGAGTGTTGAAACCGTGGTGACGAGAGTTGTAAATTAACTATTTAATTATTTTAGTTACAGCACATTATTGTATTTAGTTCACGTTCAATAACCATCGTTTCCTGTTTAATCTATTTTAAATAAATAAGAATAAAAACCTACAGTATGTACATATATGTATACACATTTTTCAAGCATACACATATATTTTACATATTTGTATATTTTATATGCATAGATGCCATGTACTTTTCGCGTATTTTAAATGCGAAAAAAATCCGCAGTCTACTTATAACAATTGACCAACTGAAAAACATCGTACTGTGAAATGTAATGTTTTCACGAATCGAATTATAATAATTTCATGATGATAGCGAAATTAAGAGAAACTTAATTTATAAGTGATATGTTATAAGAAGATATGTATCCATTGTTATTTTGAAGATATAATATATATATATTATATCTTCAAAATAATTGAAGATATAATATATATATAATATTATATAATAATATATAATATATATATAATATATATTATATAATATATATATAATATTATATATATATTATATATATAATATATATATTATATATT